GGCGTAGGGCTCCTCGAGAGGCAGCGATAAGTCATACTCGTCACACAGGTTCAGATACAAGCTGGGGACCCCTTGGGCTCCCACAGTCTCTGCTCCCCCACAGTGCATGTCATGGCTGTGTGTGTACCACTGCATGAGGATGTAGGGCTCCATCAGAGGCGCTGAGAGTCACCCTCCTCCCGGGGCTCCTGCGCTCCCTGCTTCCCCCACAGCGTACATCGTGGCCGTGTACCACAGCATGAAGGACGAGCTTCGGCGCAGCGCCCCAGGAAGCACCCCGGTCAAGAGGAGGGGCGCCAGCCAGTTCTCCCAGGAGACTGAGGCTGCCGCTGGGGCCCTGCCTGGTGAGTGCTGGAACCCCAAGCATGTCAGGCGGTCCACCTGAAGGTCCCACAGCCTGACATGTAGTCGCCAAGGTCCTTGTCACTGTAAGATGGTGCAGGTGCTTCTCTCTCCAGGAATGATCACCTTCTCTCAGGACTACGTGGCCAACGAGCTCACCCAGAACTTCTTCACCATCACACAGAAGATTCAGAAGAAAGTCACAGGCTCCCGGAATTCGACAGAACCCTCGGAGATGTTCCCCCAGCTCCCAGGCTCTCACCTGCCCCTCAACAACCCAGCCTTGGAGTTCATCAAGTACGTGTGTAAGGTAAGAAGAGGGCGGACCAAGTGCAGGGGGAGGAGGTATGAGTATGTGTGCAAGGGGGGGGGACAGGGAAGGGGCAGGCACCAGCTGCGCCCAGGGGGCCACGACCTGGGTCAGGGAGGTGTGCTGTCATGTGGGGAGTCGTCAGCCTTGCTCGCTGAGCTCCTGTCTCTAGGCTGCTCCACGTTACACATACCAAATCCAAATCCTTCCTACCAAGCAGGTTCTGACCCACAGTGACCCTGGTAGAACTGCTCTCAGGGTTTTCACAGAAGGACACTTCCCTGTCTCTCTGGTGGGTGAGGTTGGACCCTTCAACCTCCGTGCCAGCGTTCTACGCACGGCAGGGGCGAAACACTGGCCACCGCTTCCCAGGGGCCAGAGTGAGCCAGCAGGCCCGGGCTGGTTGGGGTCAGTGGGCTTGCAGTGGTCCCAGGCCATCAGAGCAGATGGACAGGGGCACCCGGCTTCTTGGCTCTGTGCCTCCTCCCTCTCTAGGGACCACAGGAGGGAGGAGGCCTGAGTGGAGGAGCAGAGCCAGTGGCCCGGGTGTGGGGGCCCCAGAAGCTTCCAGGGGCTACGGTGCTGGCGAGTCCCAGCGGGTCACTGTCTGACAGGTGCTGTCCCTGGACACGAACATCACAAACCAAGTGAACAAGCTGCGCCGGGACCTGCTGCGTCTGGTGGGTGTCGGCGAGTTCTCCCCAGAGGCCCAGTTCCAAGACCCCTGCCGCTCCCATGTGCTCCCCGAGATCATCTGCCTAAGCTGTAATTTCTGCCGGGACCTGGACCTGTGCAAAGACTCCACCTTCTCCCAGGTGGGCCACACCTGCCTGGGCCCCTGGCTGACCCGGGCAGCCCGGCTGTGAAGGTGGGGAGGGATCTTGTAGTCAGGGTGGCCTCAGCCTTTCCTGTGATGTGGGCTGGGCCACAGGAGGCCTAGGCAAGGGGTCACCTGTCCCTCCTCTGCCAGGACGGGGCAGTCCTGCCTCAGTGGCTGTGCTCCAACTGCGAGGTCCCCTACGACCCCACTGTCATTGAGGCGGCCCTGGTAGACACATTGCAGAAGAAGCTGATGGCCTTCACGCTGCAGGACCTGGTGAGGACACACGGACATTCCCACCGCAGACTCTGCCGCGGCGGCCTCTGCGGGAGTGGCTGTGTGAAGTCACGCTGTGTGTGTGTTGGGCACACGTGTACACACATATCTTAGCTGCACGTGTCTCGAGCACTTTTTTGTCCAAGTGTGTGGGGTATGTATGAACATGTGTATGCATTCACATGGGTGGGGGGTGTGTCCAGGGCATGTGTGCATATGGGGGTGGGTGTACAGGACAACTGTACATATAGGGGTGGTGTGTGCAGGACACATGGGGGGTGGTATGTCCACACGTGTGTGGGGGGTCCACGACGTGTTCACCTGGCTGTGAGTGTGTGGTTAGTCCAGGGGCACACTTGGTGTGTACGTGCCTGAGAATGTTCTGTCATTGGACTTCTCTGAGTTCAGTGACCGTCCAAGATTGAAGCCGCCGTGGCCCATGCTCCCCACACAGCTGTGCAGGCCCAGGTGTGTGCTGAGCTGAGCTCCCTTCTCAGGTGTGCCTGAAGTGCAGCGGTGTAAAGGACACGCACATGCCCATCCACTGCAGCTGTGCTGGAGACTTTGCCCTCACCATCCCCACCAAGGTGGGCAGAGCTCTGTCACCTCCCTCAAGTCTACCCCCTCACATCGAGGAGAGGGGTCTGATCGGGGCCATTTACTCCTACAGGTCTTCCTAGAGCAGGTGAGAATCTTCCGGAACATCGCCGAGCACTATGGCATATCGTACCTGCAGGAGACCCTGGATTGGCTGCTTCAGAAGACCCCTCTGCTGGGCCGCTAGCTGGCCGTCAGGGATCATCCAAACAGCCTGCACCTCAGAGTCTGGTGGTCAGTCCCATCTGGGTGGTCATTGTTCTAGGTGGGCAGGCCAGGCTCGCTGGTTTTCCACTACCTCAGGGCACCCCATAACCATTAGGGAGCCTAGGTACTCCCTAGCCTCCGTGAGGCAGACTGGTCAGACCATGGAACAAGGGCAGTCATTGTCCCAAGCAGGTCAGTGTTGATCTGAGAGCCAAGGGTTCCCAGGAGGATTCTACAGCCCTGGGCGTTCCCTCCTGTCCAAATAAAGAAGTGTGCCTTTCGCTGGTGTTGACAGCTCCTACGGGTGGGGCTAAATCAGACTGTCACTCTGGGGTCCCATCCTCCCTGCTCTGCCTCGTGGGAGGCTTCACTCTGAAGGGTGTTGTTTTCTGGGGATTGTGTGGTTGGAGGGCCGAGGCCAGGGAAGAGCAGACACCACTGGATCTGGCAGCACAAAGGCCTCCCATCCTTGTCATAGTGACAAAGTGACCCAACTCATGGCTCCTGTGCCACAGAGCAGGAGGGAGAGGTGTGTCCCCATCACACGTGGCCTTGGTGTGGGCAGCTGGGGAAGGTGCTTTAAGCAGGGCCTGTAGTGGGTTTTGTCTTGCTGAGTAAACCTGCACTTGTCACATCGTTTTTGGTAGTGTAGTCATGTATCACTATCCACCGCCTGCTAGGGTCTGTGTCAGCTTCTCACTGGACAGGGTACAAGGCCCTTGTGGGCTCCTGATACCCTCTGAAGCCCCCACAGACCTGCACTGCCCCAAGGGGATGAGGCCAGCTCCACCTGGTTTCAGGTAACTGCCCTGGATGGGACATGGGATTCAGGGTGGTAGATAAGACTTTAGAAATTGGTTGTCTTTTAGGGCTCTGGGTGACTCTGTCTTGTGGGGCTTGAGCTGGCCCAGGGGTAACCTGAGTGTCCACGGTCACTGCTTGGCCCAGGGTGGCACCTGGTCCGAGCTGGCTTTTGTAAAATGTTTTATTATTATTACTGTTTCCTGTGTAAAGAGCCTCCATGCTAAGCACAGATAAGTAACTGCATCTGTCAGCCCCCTGCAGGCCAGCCGCCACCCCTGCCCAGGAAACCTGAGGCCCCTGAAGGTGGACGGCAGAGTAGAAGCCAATCGAATTAAGAGTCGGGGAGCAGCTAACGAGCTTTCCTGGAAAGGAGCCGCTGCCAGTGGGGGGGAGTGGAACCTGATCCACGGGGGACACTGTGCCTTCTTGAACGTGGCCCAGACTGTCCCTTAGCCCCACCAACAGGACCAGGGCCACCACCTCAGGGCTACAGCTGGCAGGCTTGTCTGGGCTGGTGGCTAGGACATCCTGGGCTCTACAAGGGGGCCTGCACTAGTGCCCACCCTCGGCCAGCCACCTGAGGTCTCAGAAGGGCTGAAATCCAAGCCAAACCTGTCAATCTGGGCAAGGGGCTGGCTGGAAAAACCAGTTCCTGCAGAAGTAGAACTGGATATCTGGTAAGCCAAGTGCTTGAGGTCATCAGCCCTGATGACCTGTGACACTGGACCCAGGGATAGAGGAGCCAACCTGGCCTGTGGGGGCTGGGCAGTTATCTCCCAACAGGCTTGGCCTCCTGAGCAGGTAGCAGGACTGACCTCTGACCCCACTGGCTCTGAGTGACCTCAGTGTCACAAAGATGTGAACTCAAGAGTGTGTGCCTCGGTCTGGTCTTTGGGGAGGCAGCTGTGCACATGCTCAGTCCGAGGACCCAGAACCAAGTCTGTCCCCTGGGCAGGCCTGGACAGGCGGCACCAGGCTGGGATATAACCAGATTATATGCCAGCCTGATCCGGTTAGTGCCTGCCCCAAGCTCCGGCTTTGCCTGGACCATCCCCTCCCTGCCAGCTGGTCCTCCCCCGGCTCTGCTCTGAAGAGTGGGGGCTGTGGACCCCTACTACCTCCCTCTCTCCTCAGCAGCTCACACCCTTCATGGTGCGGATGAGGAGCAGGGCTGGGGGCTTCTGCAGTGGCCCAGGGCTGTAGAGTGGGAATGTAGTATGGGTCGCCTTGGCCCCTAACTGCCACCAGTGCCCTGGTCAGATAGATGCTGACGTGTTGATGGCCATGAGCTGCCCAAACACCCACAACTTGAGCCAAGGATGCCCACTGTCCCCTAGAGAGCAAGGACAATGATTCTAATCACCAGTTTAATGGGCTTTGGGCACACTGGCCCGGCTACACGACCCAGAGGGTCTGGGCAGCCCAGCCACAAGGCTGTAGGTAGAGCAGGCAAGACCCTCAACCAGCCCAGCTACGAGGGGCAGGGGTCTGGAGCATGTGAGGAAGTGGGGTGGGGCCAACTTGACTGTGGGGGGAGGACTGCTGTGGGAGGTGATTGAGTGTGGGGCGCTAAAGCCGAAATAGGGAGTCAGCCCCTCCCGCGTCTTGAGTCTGCAGCATGGTAGAAGGTGGGGTGCTGGAGGCTCAGAGTTGGGCCAGGCCCTTGGGGTCCACAGGCATGGAGTCCTGTTGGGGAGGCTTGGAGGCAGAAAGCCCTTGTCCCACAGTCAGGTCGCGACCAGACACCATCTGCGTGGACCGGGCAGAGAGGCAGGGGACTGGCCGTGTCGGGTGGGGCAGCCACTAGCTGCCCGGTCCTTGGGGAGGGCCCCCCGGGCAGGGTGGGGGTGGCACCTGGCCCAGGACTATGGCCAGGGTCACAGGCCAGCTGGCCTCGGCCGGCCTTGGTGTACACACCTTGTCGAACTTCTTGTGGCTGTACACCTTGTTCTTGTTCATGAAGGTGAGGAGGATCCAGTCACACAGGAAGGAGCCCTGGGCCAGCAGAGACGGTGCTCAGGGCCCAGCTGGCCCCCACCCACCCCAGCCCCAGGGGTCCTTACCACCCCGATGGACGTCAGCGCCGTCACCAGGTTGATGATGGTGGGGATCAGGCTGAACTTCCCTGCCTAAGAGAGTGGGCCATGAGACCCTCACAGCCAGCCCCAGCTCCCCACCTGCTAGCCGCTCAGCCCATGTGGTCAAGTGGGAGGAGGGGGGCCTGCCCACCTGTCCATGCACAATCACGTCAATGCGTATCCCATAGGCCTTGATGAGTGTACGGGTGGAGGTGCCATTCACGTTGTAGTACTTGGCAAACCTGGTGGGAGGACCCACAAGCAGTTAGGCAACTGTGAGGCCTGTGCCCACCTCTTGGACACATGGGGGTCAGCAGGGGCTGCATTGGGTGGGCAACTGAATTATCCCCCCAGGAGGGACTCTGTGGCCCAACTGAGGGCACCTGAAGTTGTAGCCCGAGGAGGCGCGGGCATGCTTGGGGTCGAGCCGCTGGAAGGTGTAGTGGGGGTTGCACTTGGATGCCGACAGGTCCAGGTCACAGTCCCAGTTGATGATGACACCAATGACCCCACCCTGCAGAGGAGGAAGCTTATTTGTCTGTCTGGGGAGACTGGAGCCAGGAACCCTCCACAGATACAGAGGGTCCTTGGGATGGGGCCCATCCCACGCAGGGCAGGCCTTGGGAAGCCCCAGCTGTCAATAATTGAGCAGGTGAACCCACAGCCAGGTGCTTCGGGCTGATTGTGTTTCTCTGTCCTCCCCAACCGGGGCCAGGCTGGCCAGAGCTGAAAGGGCCATTCTCCGCTGTCACTGTCACGGAGCCCATCCTGGCGCCCCCGCTCGCCTTGTGTGCCAGCTCCGTGAAGTTCTCCCTGGCCTTCTCCACAATGAAGCCCAGCTTGAAGATGGGACAGTAGGGGTCCGAGACCTCATCAAAGGTGCAGTGCTTCAGATAATCGTCCCTCTTGTTGGCGATGTTGCCCCTGAGATGCATTAGGAGGTGAGGGTGGCAGGAGCCATAGTCGGGGTCCCCGTGAGGATGTGCCCAGGCCCCTCCCCAACATGCTGCTCCTGGGAGGCCCCAGCCAGCTCTTACTTGGTGAAGCGGAACTTAGGATAGTGGATGGTGTTTTTGATGAAGATGGTGAAGTTGGGGGCCATCTCGCCCAGGAAGTGGCTGAGGACATAGGCTGCGTTTAACCCTCTCCCCTCTGGCCTCCCACCCTCCATGCAAGGACAGGCTGGTTTGTACATGGCAGGGGGAGAGGAGCTTGTCCACAATCTGCTCAGGGGTTTGGGGAGGTCAGGGGCAGCGCACCTGACAGAAGCACCGTCCTCCACCGGGCACCAGGCATACACCTCACAGGTCTTTGCGGACCCGTAGTAATAGGGCACGCAGCGTCCAGTCCGCAGCCCTGCAACAGACACCCTGAGTGGTGGCCACAGGACATCCCCACCGCCCCACCCCAGGTGGCGCCCACTGACCGTTTCCCAGCATGTCCAGCTCCCCGGCCACGCAGTCCTCATCTGAGGTGCACCTGGCATTTTTGACCCTCACGCTCTAGGGGAAGAGGGGCTGGTTCAGCGCCAAGTGGACAAGATCCCAGGGTGGCCCCACAGCCCTCCCCTCACCTCAGGGCAAGTTGCCAGAGTCTGGGAAGGGGTCTCCTCCGTCCTGGTGATGACGCTGAACACGCTGCCTCCCTGGTCAGAGACAGGAGGTGTCAGTGACCTGGCACACGGGGGTCAGGTGAGGACATAAGACCCCTGGAAGGCTGGAGGCAGGGGCTGCCTCACCTCAGGGGGTTTCACATACTCCTCCACATTCCACACTCTCTGCTCTGAAATGCTGATGCCCTTGACCTTGGTTATGATGAAACTCTCAGGACCTGTCTCCCAGTCCTGGTAGCTCTTCTGTACGATGAACACGTACCTATAGAGATGGTCAGGGTGACGCCCCAGGGCCTGGAACTCTACACACTGCAGAGCAAGGACTCCCTGCCACTCCCAGGAATTGGGGGCCCTGGCACCCAGTTTTCTGCCCTGCTCAGCTGGGCGCCCCCGCAGCGCTTCAGGACCTGCCCACCCAGGAGTCGCCCTGCGTCCTCACCAAACGAAGTAGAGCAGGATCAGGAGCTGCACCGCCCGGTACACGACGCCCAACTGCCGGTTCTTCACCACGATCACCTTGGGCGTCTCGTAGTCCCAGAGCGCCGACCAGCAGGCCCGGGCCAGGCGCCGCAGCCGGCCAGTCCAGGGGGGCCTGGGCTGCGCGGCCATGACCGGCCTCATGTGCCCCGTTCCGCTCAGCGCCCGGCTGCCCCGCCCCAACTCTTTCCACTCAGACCCGCCCAGGGCCTGCCCCTCTCTGGGCCCGCCTTCCAGGTCCCTGCCGGGAGCTGGGACGCCTCAGTGGTCCACCAGGTGCACTGCTCCCCGACCACCAACCACAGAGGAGCCCTGCAGCAAAGGGGGCACAGGGTACCGCTCGGCAGGTGGAAACTTGTTTCTTAAAATCTGCAAAAAGAAACCTAAAAGTAGCTGAAGGCAGCTCTGCGTGGATGCTGGGGGAACCATGTGTGGAAATCCAAAGTGGACCCCATGGAGATCAGCACACCAGGACAGAGACTGGAGGGAAGACGTTCCTCTAGGTGTCCCTGCTCTACCTGAGGACCCGTTCAGCCCTCCAGACACCTCCCCCAGTCTTGCCAGGCTTTTAGCCATTTCCCACCCTACCTCCACTGCATAGGAAGCAAAAGCGACAACAGCTTTTAAGAGTTTTGTTCACCCCTTACTTTGAAACAAGTCACTGAAGTTTGCCCCCCTCATTGCAGGATCTGCAGCAAACTTCCTGAGAGCAGTGCAGGGCTGCCACTGGCCCCGCAAGGCCTCCTGACCCGCCCAGGACCCCTTCTGATGATGTTCTTGACCCTCAGCATGGCCCTCTGAAGATGCTCAGGGGCTCCCTTCCCAGCACCTCTTGAAGGGGCTCCTGGTCACCCAGTAGGCCTGGAGTGCTGCCCTGCTCCTGGCACTATGGACGCCAGAGAGGATGCCCCTATACCAGGCAGAGGAGTGGCCGGCCAGCTTGTTCACAGAGATAAGGGTTAGGGTTAGGTTAAGGGTGAGAGTGAGGTTTAGGGTTAGGCTTAGGTTATGGATAGGGTTATTATTTGAATGGGTTTAGGGTTAAGATTATCGTTAGTGACCCCAGCGGTCACTAAGGACCTCAGGGAGGGGACAGTCCAGGCTCCACATCTAACAAAAGTGACTCTAGCAACTTACCACAAAAAAAGACAAGACCACAGCAGGAGAGCAAGCATTACAATTTGGGCCAAAACTATGAATGGTTCTTGGCTCTGAAAGAGACGATAACACAACAAACAAAACCCAACTTAACCTCATGATGATCTGTGCACATTGGAGTGTGTGTGGAGGCTGGTGGCTACTGGCCCGGAGGCGGCAGGTATCTCAGGCGGTTTGACTCCAACAGCGGCGCTGAGACAGCAAGACGAGCATTTACAGCATCAGAAACCTGCCGAACGGTCGCTAGGGGTCAGCACTGAGTCCGCACCGCTTGCGTGGAATCAAACCTGTATGTTAATACTCAACGGCGTTAACTCTGAGCTCCTGCGCTAACCGCTGAAACAAATCTCAGATACCGAGTGGCAGGAGTCATGTGACTCCTTGAGGCCTCACAGTGAGGTCAGGAGGGAAAAGACGAGAGGTGGGGACAGAGACTGAGTCCTAGGCCCTGTGAACAGTTCACTACAGAGGAAACTCGGATTTTAGGAAATGTCTGTCTAGGTTGAGAGGACCTTTGTGCCCCTAGCACAAAAATGATTTTTAGAGAACAGCCCTAGGGAGCTCTGATGGCCTAGTGGCAAGAAGCTGCACTGCAATCCCAGAAGTGCGTGGTTCAAATCCACCAGATGCTCTGCTGGAGAAGAAGGGACAGTGTCCTCCTGTACCAGTCAGATCTGACTTGACGGTACACACAAAAAAAATAATTTTTTTTTAAAAAAAGAAAGCAGCCCTAAAGACCTCATGCTGTTTGGGTTGGTACCTGAATCCCTGGGATGGAGTCCAACACTGCTGGGCATTGAGGACATCCTGGGCTTACAGAGACTGTCCTTCCTGCTACCACGAAAGGACTAGGTGGCCAGCAACTGGCAGACAAGAGAGGACAGAAAGGGTTGGAGTAAGAGGGTGTGTGGGTTTCATCTCCAGGATATGCAGTTTTTTCTCTATTTCCTGGAGGAAAGGGGCTGCTGTAGGATCTCAACTTTTCCCTGAAGCCTGCAGGCCTGCGCCCCCCATGTTGTTATGTCCCCTGGCTAACAAGGGAGTGGGAGTTTCCAGTGGAAGGGGGCTGTGTTACTGCAAACAGGTCCACTCAGTTGGAGGATAGGACTCTATATAAAGTCTCAAATTCAGTGAGGAGCCCATTTCTGATGATTTTCAAGAGACCATAAAGTGCTTCTGAGATCACATGGCCTCCTGGGAAGAACAAGAAGCAAATGAACTCTCAGGGCCGGGCCGGGAGGAAAGGACGGGCTCCCACTGGGCATCCACTCCTCTTGGCAGTACGTCCGTGTCACTGCAGAGCCGGACTGGCCTCATCGTTGGCCTCTCTGCATCCCACTCCTGCTTCCCAGCACACCCACCATACCCCACCTGACCAGCACAGGTCCGTTTGCCCAGCTCCACCACCCACCATCAAGCTGACAAGGAGGTACACGGACTGAGAACCTCTGAAAGAAAACCTGAAGTTGACATGCGGGAAGAAACCCTCCCCAGAGCCTCGCCTGGTGCCTGGCATCACCCAGAGACAAGACCCAACCAACGCCCTGTTCTGACTCAGCGGCCCGGGAGGACAGGGAGAGAGAGCTGTCCCTTGGGCTTTCTGAAGCTGTGCTCCTCATGGAAGCCGACTCCCTTATCTTTTCTCCTGTGGAGCACCTGGTGGGTTTGGACTATGAGCCTTTCAATTAGCAGCAGGTGCTCTAAGCACTGTGCCAGCAGGACTTGTCTGGGAGATGTTGATAATGACTGTCATGTGTGGGGATGAAAGTCCGGACCGTCCAGAGGGGCTGCTCAGAGTTAGCTCAGCTGGGGTGGGCAGAGGTATGGGAGGCCTCAGTGCCCTCCGGGAGGCTGGAGCCATGAGGACACTGGTGTTCCCTGAGAGTCTTAGGTTGAAAGCAGATGGGAGGGGGGGAGTAAGGGAACTGGTGGGCGGGAGCCAGGAGGCCAGGGGTCACTGTCTGATGTGGTCTGGCTGTCGTGCCTTGTTCAGAGTTCTTGTGGGAAGTGATCAAAGGCTCTCGAAGGGGTGAGGACAGGACAGGTAGCAAAGGAAGCTGCCCCCAGGCCCTGGCTGGCCTTAGGCTGAGAGCAGCTGCTTAGTTGTCTCCCTCTGTCCCCAACAGCAGGTGTGAGCTGGACTGTCAGGGAGGGTCACTGCAGACTCACGGATTACCAAACCCCAGGGGAACCTCTGCAAAGGAAGCCACTCCTGCTTCTGTCTGGCCCTGGTGTTTGTGTGTGAGTATGCAAATTCCTTGGGGGAATCTTGAATGTTGCCTCCCCTGGGGGCACCTGTTGGGGCAAAGGTCATGACTCCTTTTGTTGTTGTTGTTGTTGTTGGTACTAGAATGGTAAACCCACCTTATCTCTTCACAGCCCAGTGTGAAAGGTGATGATCAAAAAGCAGGTTTAGCGGCCACCTGCAGACAGAGGGTGGTAATCCTCTGGGTCAAGTTGCTGACCACAGGCCAGAGGCCCTTTGGAGTGTGGAGTGCTTGGGGGAGGGTGTTGGGGCAGGAGTGGACGGGGAGGGTGCTGGGCAGGAGAGAGGAGGGAGGGGGTGCTGGGGCAGGAGAGGGACAGCGTGGAGGGGAGAGAGTTCTGGGGAGGTGGTGCTGACGGGGGTGGGGCAGGGCTGGGAGAGACCAGGAGTGGGAGGAGCCAGGGGAGGGTTTTGTGGGTGTGTTGGAGGAGAGGGCCGTGTGTGGGAGAGCGGAGGGTTAGGGTTAGAGTGCAAAGAAAAGAAGGCACAGGGACAAGAGTGGGATGGAGAGGGTAGGGGGCAGGGAGGAAGGTTTGAGGGGGAGGTTTTGGGGTGAGATGCACAAGTGGCAGATGTCAGAGGGGCAGGGGAAGACAAGAGTGCCCGGGTGGAGGGCTAAAGCTGTAGAGGGGGACTTGTCAGAGAATTGTGCTGCTTTGATGAGCTGGGAAAGCGGGGTGTAATCCCCAGCTGATGTCCCTGAATGGACTGAAAGGGAAAAATATCTGGCTCTGGAGACACAAACAGCCACACTAATGGACAAGGGATTAAGGTTACGGTCAGTCTGTCTCTGATCAGTTGTGGTTTTTCTTTTTTTTTTTTGTTCTGCCTGGAACATTGACTTTGAGAATCGTTCCCTCTTGGGAACAAATACAAAGAGGGGGTGACTCTGAGACGTCCCTGGACAGGAGACCCAAGGTGCAGAGGTAGAGTGAGTGGCCAGGCGGCCCAAGAGGTGGAACAGTTTCCTCCCACCGTGAAGCTAAGCGCAAACTCAGCACTGGAGACCGCCAGGGGGCGCGAGAGAGCAGGCTAACCGGGAGCTGGGCAGCCAGGGCCCAAGGGGTGGAGGGTAATGTGAAGGGCCCCGGTGCTGGGGGCTCCCAGGGGGCTCAGGGACCACGGGCGAAGTGGACAACGAGTCAGCCGCCCCTGACGGTGACCTCTGCACGCTCGTGGTTTGCACTGACACATGTTATTCTGAGGCAGCACACAGCACACCTGAGTATCACCCACACATCAAGGATGTGATGAAACCCCAGGAAATGGTTCACCCTACATTGACTGGTTACGCCCTAAGCCCTTGGACCTTCTCATCTCTGGCATGAGAGACCTGCTTTATTCTACCTGGAGGAGGCTGTGCCCAGGACCCCGGCCCTGTCCTTAGAGTAGATAAGGACATGAAGCCTCCCTCTCAGGAGTGAAGCCTTGAGGGACAAGGGACGAGCTCAGGGCGGGCAGAGGAAGAAAGGGAGGTGGGCAGAGGTGGGGAGTGGGCTGGGGAGACAGAGATGGGGACTGAGGGCGGGGTTTCTTCCTGCCGGTGGGAAGGTGTGAAGACTGATCTTGAACTGCTGAAGCTGCCGCTGGCCGGACAGTGTGCAATCGCTGCGGTGACCAGTCAGTCACCCCAGAGGAGGTCCTGGTGCCCAGGGAGACCTCTCACTGCCACCCTTATAGTAGTTGAGGGGCTCAGCTGAGAACTGAGGGTCCCTTTGCTCACTCCTCTGGTGGATATGGAACAAGGGGTCCAGCAGTGGGGCTGCAAGGGGGTTCCTGTCCACTCTGTCATACCACCTTCTTGGCAGGGTGACCGGTGGGACTCTGGAGACCCCCACCTTAGATGCACAGCCCAGGCTTGGGCTCCTGATGCTCGGGGTTGGAAGGGGCCTCGCCTCACACTGTGGGGGCCCAGTGGGTGCGGGTGCCGGTGGGTGAGTGGGCGTTGGGGCCTCCCATGGTGATGATGCTTTGTGGTGGGACTGGTTTTTTTTTGTTTGTTTGTTTTGTTTTTTTAATTTTTATTTTATTTTGGGACTGGTTTTTGCACTGACCTGGGTGCCTGGGGAGAGGCCTGGGAGGCAGAGTCATGTAAACCCCCCTCCCATTCTGGGAAGGCACGCGAGGCTGCCATGGACTCTCTGGTCCCCTTCACAGGCGCCCAGCCGATGGCCTGTCCTGTGTGGTCACTGGCCCTGGTCCTGCTCCTGCAGCTTGTAGTGCTGTGGGCAATCCCTAATGGAAAGAAAACTGATCCCCACGTGCACTTTTATTTCCACAAGGTGAGCCAGGCTGGGCTGGGCACATGAACTCTCCTTCTGCCCTGGGCTCCCCATGCACCTCGACTTAGAATCTCCTGGGGTGGCAGACACACAGGCACCTGGCTTGAGGGCTCTGTCAATGCCCTCTGTCCCTGCAATGAGGCCTAGTGTACCCCCACTTCACAAGAGCCCCCCCCAGGGCAGGGAAAATCACGTTTCAGAGCAGCATCAGGAATTTGCTGTGGTGCTCGTGGACCCTCAGGCTACTTCCTGGCCTGTGCTCGGTGAAGGACCCCTAGAACCCCAGATGATGGACACACCGAGGCTGGCTCGAGGCTCTGGGCCCTGCTCGTCAGATGCTCTCCACAGAGTGATACCCTGCCTGCTCCCTGTTTCCTGCCTCCCTGATGAAAACTGGCCCCAGGGTTCCGGCGCACAGGCCTCTAGGCTGGTACCTGGGAGACATCAGTGCCTGCCTACCGTTACACAGAACACAGGGTTTCAGCAAAAATTCAAAGCAGGAAATGATTTAATTAAGCCAGACATTGAAAGAACTGCAAGACATGGCTAGGTAATAATTTATTTGTTTTAAAAACATGCCCATTTCCCCCATAAAGGTGTATTATTTGCGTTAAGCTTTAAGGGAGCTCTGGTAGTATAGTTTGTAGATTGTTATACTTCTACCCAAAGGCCCTGCTTCGCTGCCAGTTTCCTGCTTCTCAGCAGCTCTGTGGGAAACTCTTCCAAGTGATTTATAGCCTTGAAACCCTACTGGAGAGTCAGCTGTGAGTCAGAGCCACAGACAGAGGGACAGAGAGAGAGAGAGGCTTAAAAGAGCTTAGTGCCCTTTTCAAACTAAAACAAGAACGCTTGGAATTACTCTCAGTCTTAGTGTCAGATGCAGTAAGAGCCCATAAAACCGACTTAGACAAGAACTCTTTGGGGGTCCTCCCTAATTTTCTGAGACTCTAAAGGCATTCTGAGTCAAGGCTTTGCAGGCCTCTGTTGAAGGGGACAAGGGCCAGGCTTGGCCAGCACACCCCAGTTTCTGCTTGGAGGCAGTGCACACTTGACTTGAGGCTCCTGGACACTTTGAGCCCGTTTCTGTAGGACAGTGTCAGAGGCTGCCCAGCACACAGTCACCTATTGCTGGCACCATGCTGCCTGCCACTCCCAGCTTCCTGCCCCACAGCCCTGTTTCCCTTCCTCCCCAGAGGCTCACAGCACATTCCAGGAGGGCAGGCCCTTCCCTGTCCCTGGCGCTCCGTAACCAGAGAAAGGAGACTCTGTCTAGTGAGTTCCCAGGAGGAGAAGGAAGAGGCTGGGCATGCAAGTGGAGGCGGGCACTGTGGCCCGCAGGTCAGAGAGCTGTGACCCCCGCAGGGAATCGGGGAGTCCTGCGAAGATCACCAGGAGTGCCGGAGCCAGTGCTGCGTTGCCAACAGCTTGAGTCCACGCACGTTTTGCACACCCCAGACGATCCTTCTCCGCTGTGTGCCCTGGAGGAAGGTGGGACCACCTGAGGGGCCGGGGTGGGGGGGTGGGAAGAAGAGAGGACTCCCTGGGGGGGGAGGGGGTGGGTCTAGAGGAAGATGGGCCTGTGGGGGAATGGGAAGGGATCCCAGGGCATGGAGCAGGGGCTCCTGGGAGAGGATGGCGGGTGCCCCCCTTCCGCCCCCCGTGAAGGGCTGCTTCTGCTCCTCCCTCAGCCCCTGGGGTACGAGTGCCGGGACCATCAGGAGTGCCAGAGCTTGTGCTGTGCGTTCGCCGAGAATGCTCTGCATACCATCTGCACGGACAGGACCATCTTTATGCAGTGCATCCCCTGGAGAAAGGTGGGCGCGTCCTGTGAGGAACAGGGGGGCAGAAGAGGCAGGGGGTGTCCCGGGTCTGAGGAGGGGCCGGCCTGACACGAGTCTCCACAGCCGGACATGGACTTCTGTAGCAACCATGACGACTGCGCGAGCAGGTGCTGCACGAGGCTGATAGAGGATGGCTACAACCGCTGCATCCCCAGGAAGGGCCTCATCGCCCAGTGCCTGTCCCAGGTGAGCCCTGTGGCCGAGGCACTCCCGTCCCTCCATCACATGGCCTGTGGGTGAATGACTGATGTGCCCACGATGGAAGACTGGAGTCCTTCCTCAGGGCTGCGGGAGGAAGGGCTCAGTTCTGAGGGTCCCAGGTGGTCAGGACAGCGAGAGGGTGGAGATGGAAGTGACGCAGGACATGGGCACCAACCTGGTCCAGCCAGCAGGACCTGGTTCACAGTTCAGGGGCAAATCCAGTGACATGGCTAGCCCCAGCATGGGGAGAGGTGCCCCCAGAGCTACAGGGCACAGTGAGGGTGGGCGTGGACCCTAGGGTGGGGGTTCCTCTGCTGCTCACCCCTCCCACCCTCAGCTTTTGATGCTTCAGGCCAGTCTAGTGGTGAACTCTGGGGGCAGCCGTGTAGTCAGTCCCTGGGGGCAATTGCTGGGACCTCCCCCCCCCAATTAGAGAGCACACTAGCTATCTGTCGGGTGGGGGAGGGTGGAGGTGAGAAGCAGACATTTCTGAGCAGTGACCACACCTGTTGTCATTGCACCTGGGGACAGGCTGGCCCCTCAGGCAGAGGGTGGTGGGCAAGTGAGCCAATCCAGCTCCCACAGGTATCCTGCCTTCAGAACAGGGGGCTGACTGGTCACACAGGATGTGGTGCTCCCGGAGGGGACAGGGGCTGGTGAGGACAGGAGGGGTGTGGTCCAGGCCCCCCTGGAGCTGCAAGATGGGTGTGAGGGTGGGAGACGCTGCTGAGTCAGAACTGACTCGATGCCCCCCCCAATGATGACTACTGGCTCATTTCGGGGTGCTGGTAGTGCAGTGGCTATGCACCCAGAGGTGCTGCTAACCCAAAGGCCAGCCGTTTAAGCCCCTCAGGTCCAAGATAGACCAGAGACCCTCCAGGCAGCGAGCCCATCATGCTGACTCTTTAACTCTGCTCCCACCCCGGGGGTTGTGGGTCCTTTAGTGACCTGGCCTTCCTCCCCAAGGTGTCTGCCACTGTTGGGTGAGGGGGCATCTGGCCCACTCAGCCGGAAGCTTTGCTTGTGTTTTTCTCAGTGGGGCTCTGGAAGTTTCCAAGAAACAGCCTTGCTATGAACCAAATTCTCCTTTAGGCCAGTTGTATCCCGAGGGAACAGACAACCTAATGAATCAGTGACAATAAAATCGCCCCTGCTTAGCCCGCAGGCGGCCCAACACCCAGTTCTGGACTTGAAGGGGGATGGAATTCCAGCTTGTGGGAGGGAGACTCCAGAGACACAGCCAGGCAGCTCGAGGAGCGCTGGCAGCTGTCACCCTCTTGTGGCAAGTGGGAATACTCCCTCCCAGACTGAACTCCAGGCACAAGCCCCCTCCTGAGAGGGTCAAAGAGGGAGGAGCAAAAGGTAAGCGGTTCGGGTCCACCAGGGCACACAGTTTCACTGCATTTGGGGTTTTCTGTCATTTCAGACTTGAATTCCTATGAAAGAAATCCTGGTGGCATAGTGCACTCAGTGTCTGGCTACTAACCACAAGGTCAGCGGGGTCGAATTTACTACTAGCTGCTCCTTGGGAAAAGATGGGCAGTTTCCTCCCATACAGATTTACAGCCTTGAAAAGGGGCTGGAGATGTGATGAACTGCCCAAGGGAGAGGTGATAACAAGGGAATCTGTGGTGATGCACCTTCAAAGGGAGAAGGGGAGCTTCCCTGGGGCAGTGAGCTGGAACCGGTTCCAGCAGGACTCACCTGGGCCCAGAGGGCAGATGGGAAGGGCAAGCCTGGAGCATAAACTTTTATGATTCTTAACTAGGTGTGGGAAGAGGCACAGAAGTGTTTGGGCAGATGTTAGAGGGAAATGGGGAGAAGAGAAAGACACAGCCGGAGGGAGGGAGAGGGCATGGGAGCCACACAGGAGCAGGAACAGAGAGACAAGGAAAACCAGACACTCAAATTTTCTTTTTTTGCACACAGAAAAGCAGATCTTGCTACTCTGACAGGAACAGAATCACCAAACAGCACAAGAAAGGCACCCCAACCCCAGATGAAAGTTTTCAAACAGTCCTACGAGGGAAGCATGTAATGTTGAGGGTCGAGTCTGCAGAATCCTCAGAAGGAAGGTCATCCCAGGAATGTGTAAATGACCCACTTTGTCTCTAAAACTAATAAAGCTCAAAACACTAGACTGCTGGCTGCTTTGGGATTAAGAAGATTTAAAAGTCAGTGGGGACCTGGAGTGTGTCCACCTCTCAGTGTCCCGTCCCTCCCGGAGGCCAGCATGTGCAGGCACACTGGCTCGGCAGAGGCGGGGAGTGAGGAGGACCAGCCCTCCGGAACCTCTCCAAGAGCTGACAGCGCCCCAGCTCCTGTTCAGCTGCCCCTCGGGCTCAGAGGTGACTCAAGTCTGACTTGGTGGCAGCTGGTCTCCACACTGCTGTGGATATCTAAACACACTACTGGACAGCGGCTGGGTCACCACCGCGGGGGAGAGGGTACTTGCACAGTAGGGACACCATCCTGAGCCAAGTGCACACACACGCACACACACACACACACTTGCACGCAGGCTAAGTTACCACAGGGGCTTTTTCTCCCTGGGCCCCCACTGTGCAGCTGGCCTTGCTGCCCAGCCAACCCTCAACCCCATGTCCCCCCACGCTGTGGACTTCCCAAGAAGTTACAGGGCCAGAGTGGTGACCTAGGCCTGGCCACCGAGGAGGGACACGGGGTGAGACAGTGCAGCGCAGCAGCCACTTGGAAAAGGACAGGAGTCCTGGATGTGTTGTGGGGCTGGAGACAAGTGGGTGGGCACACAGAGACTAGCAGTCAGTTGGGGATGGGGTTTCAGAGAGGGGCAGGGTGCCTGAGTAGGAAAGGTGGACTAGAGACCCTGTGTCCTCTTTTCAGGGCAGATTTCCAACAAAGTGCTCAGTGGGGGCATGAGAAACGAGGGTCATCAGGGACCCCTTCTTGTGGACGCCTACCACAGAAAACACGAAACCATCTCTCTTCCAAAATCAAGGCTGTATTTGTCCTGTGAGTGATATGGGGACAGAGCGTCTGAGAACGGGCCCACCGTGGGGAAACACCTCAGAGTCCACGAGTGTCCGGAGCCTCAGCTGCAAGTGGCGACTGTGAGGGCTCAGGCCAGCGGGCAGTGACGACGCGGCTTCACAGGGACCAGGTGCAGGCCGAGCTGAGCTGCGGGCCTTCCCTGCAGAGGTGTCGGGAAGGAAGTGCTTTGTGCTCTGCTGTTAGGCTCTTGACAAGGTCCACAGACACGGCCCAGCCAGTCCTGACCTGCAGCAAGGCCAGGTCCCTTCGATGGTCCAGGACGCTGCTGGCTCCTCCTGGAACCTGGAGCTTTGCATAGTCGAGTCGCTGCAGTTAAACTCGAGTGTTGTCAACTGACAGCGAGTGGCCGCTGCAGTTAAACTCGAGTGTTGTCAACTGACAGCGAGTGGCGTGTTGTGTTGGTTTCTGTGACCATGTTAAAACAGGTAACTGGGGAGGTCTCTAGTAACCCTTTGTATAAAGTCCAACTAGGTTAAGAATTTAATAACATCATGTATTTATATTAACAGACTATTTACATTTGTATCATTTTTACTCTTAAAAAAACCCAAACCATAAAAGAATTTTCTTACAATTCTGCATAATAGAATAAGGCAAAAACCAAAGTTTTGTACATTATTATTATTCTCATATACTGTGTATCTGTAGCTTCGGTTCCAGGTACCAGGCGGGCCAGGCCTGGCCTCACAGTGCGCTGGACTAAGTGACCGTTTTTCTTCATAAATAAGAACCCTGGTGCCCACAGAGGGATCTGAGGCCAGAAAACTGCTAATTGAAAACCAAAGAGCAAACGCTTTTTTTTCTTTTTTGGTTGTTTCTTGAAAATGCCTAGAGAGCATAAAATTAAAAAACAAATAAAATTACAAATCCAGTAAAAACGTGCCTCTCCTTGGGCAAAAACGTACAAACTCGACTTCCCCCCCAATAATAGCCTCTGAGCCTCCAGCGGGGCGCCTCTCACCCGCCCCGCCCCCCGTGCGTGGATCTGTGCTTCGGTTCTAGACATGGACACGTGCAGCTGCGTCCACCGCATACGTGGAGGCCACACTACCTGGCCTCTACCTCCTGCGGGTTGCGGGTTGGGGAGTAGTCACGCGCCTCCCCAGAGGAACCGTGGGGTGTAGTCCTGCGCGGGGGCTGCTGCCCAGGGCCTGAGGGGGGTGTGGTCACCAGGGGAGGGGGCGCGCTGAGCGGGCTGGCGGCGGGCGGGGTGCGCGCCAGGAGCCCGTTGTGCGTGGCCGTGGGCGCCAGGCGCGCGTAGTGCAGAGTGCCCAGCGGGGGCAGCAGCGCCGAGCTGTCCAGTGCGGGGCCGCCGGGCGGGTGTGAGGGCTGGTGCGGAGGAGGGCGGGTGCGTTCCAGCTCCTCCCTGCGCGTGGCCCAGCGGTGCTCCGGGCTGGAGTCGTGGGGTTCACGGTCGCGGTAGGGGCGCTCGGATGACTCTGGGGGCACAGGCGTAGCAGGGCAGGGGCGGCGAGGCGGCTCCCACTCGAAGCCCGGGCGCTCGCGGCCAACCGGGGGCCCCAGAGCAGCTGTGTCCGCCTCCTCCCACCGCTCTTCCTTGACCTTCACAGGGCCCTGCGGCGGCACAGTGGCGGGCACAGTGGCAGGCTCAGGCTGGCGGGCCAGCAGGCCGGCCAGGCGCAGGCTGTCCCCCAAGGCCGCCTTGCTGTAGGGCGATGGTGGGTGCGAGGCTGCCTTCGAGCTGTCCTCCTTGATCGGAGATCGACTCTCCTTAACCCGGGGTTCAGTGGACTCCCCGGGCCGGCCTGGCTCACCTGGGCCACCTCGGAGGAGAAGACTGCTGATGGGGTGGCCGAGTGGCGCAGAGGGTGAGCCCCGGCTCAGCAGGCGCGTCCTGTCCAGGACCTTGTCCCTGGGGGTGGTCAGCAGTTACTGTCAAGGGCACAGGGTCTGCTGGTGTCCCTCCCACCTGGGGTTCCCCCAGCGGAGGAGGAGCTCCCTAGGCCAGCTAGTCCCTCGGTGGGGGGGCTGTCTGTGTTCCGTAGGATCCCTCTGGATGGGGACCTGGGCCCTAGGCTCTCCCGCCCCTGGTGGGGTATGAAGTCATGAGGTGCTTGCAATTCCTGTTTCTCAGGGGGAAGGGGGACACAAACATCCAGATGCCAGTGAGACGTCCTGGGCCCCTGCTATTGACAGCTGGGGGGGGCAGGTGGTGCTGTGTTGCAATGCCCACCCACAGCCCCCGCTCCCCTAGCCACCAACTCCGGCCCCAGAGGGCATCTAACATGCCCCACATTGGAGTGCCAAGAGGCCGGCTGCCACATTAGGACACTGTCCCCAGGCATATCCCAGCCCTGCCCACCTGGGCCACATCCACCAGGGCTGTGGGGACTGGGTGCACGCCATCTTCCAGCCCCAACCCTGGCCTTGAGCCGGGCTCCACCCCCAGGGGGCTCAGGCTCCTCCCCCGGGGGCTCGGGCTCCTCCCCCGGGGGCTCGGGCTCCTCCCCCGGGGGCTCGGGCTCCTCCCCCAGGGGGCTCAGGCTCCTCCCCCGGGGGCTCGGGCTCCTCCCCCAGGGGGCTCGGATCCGGCTTTCTCCCTGGGATCTGCCCTGCAGCCTGCTCACCGCTCTCGTTCCTCCCTGCTCCTGTCTGGCTCTCGGTCATGGTTAGTCAGGGTGGAGACACGCTCAGCGTCCACAGGCTTGGGCCATGGGGGCAGTGTGGGGAAGGAGGGTGGTGCCCGGTGCAGCCGGCTCCAGGCCTCGTGGGGGCTGGGCAGGCCATGCAGCGTGGGCGGGCTGTGCAGCGTGGAAGCCTCCTTTTGGGTAAAGACACCGCCTGCTGCTGCTGCAGGGAGGGCCAGAGGGTGAGGCTGACCTCCACACACAGACTGACCAGACAGACAGAGCAGGGCCCCCCTTTTGCCCCCAGCCATCCCCCACACCCATTCCCACCAGGCCTCTCATGGGCTGAGACTCAGTTCCAGAAGTCGTGTGTGTGTGTGCGCGTGTGTGCGTGTGTGTGCGTGTGTTTAAGATGGGGAGGGTGTGACTGTGTGTGTGAGACCGAGAGAGAAGAGGTGTAAGAGAAGGGGGGCTGTGTATGAGAGAAAGAAGAGAGGTGTAAGAGGGTGTGTATGTGAGAGAGAAAGGAGATGTAAAGGGGATGTGTGTGTGTGAGAGAGGACGTGTAAAGTGAGGGGCGTGTCAAAAGAGGGATAAGAAGAGGGTGTGTATGTGTGTGACAGGTGGTATGAGGCTGGTGTGTGTACGTGTGTGTGATCAGGCAGCGTGCAGACAGCATGCATCTAAGATGTGCAGGGACGCGGGGCCCTTACTTAGTGTGTGGCCGCCCAGGCCCCCGAAGGCGTTGCTCCCCAGGCTGCCGAGGCCCCCAAAAGTGCTGGATCTGCTGAAAGGGTCTGTGAGGGTGGGAGTGTCAGGGCTGCAGCCTCTCCACAGGCCCCCCACCCCAGAGGCTGTGTGCCTCGCGGGTTCCCCTTGGGCACACATGGGTGCCCACGACCATGGTCAACCTCACACTGAGGAAGCCAGCTGGAGTGTCAGGGCTCAGGTCAGGCCACTCCTACCTGCTAGATGACCGGTGGGGAGGAAGCTGCTGTGATGGGTGGGGGGTCCAAAAGGGCTGGTGGGGGGGTGAACAGCACCTGGCAGGAGAGAAACAGTCGTTGACCAGGGCCATGGTCAAACTTGAGAGTCCTGGAGGGGCCTGCAGTGTTGTCCCTCTGGGAGCCCTTCCCTCCCCTTCTGTTCCCACCCTGACTCAGGAGGAGCCGAGAAGCAGGCTTGCCTACAAAGGTAGTGGACTTAGCGCTGGGAAGGGACCTCCCTATCCAAGTCTGGGGGGAGGACAGTATGTGACCCCAAAGAGGGACAGGACAGGACAAAGGAACAAGATGTAAGCAGAAACAGAGGAAACTCTAATAAGACCCAAATAAATAGCAAAAGTATGCCACACCCAGGTATGGACCCTCTAAAGACATGAATTTTCCTCAGCGTCATGGCTATTTCTAACCCAATTCCAATAATATCTGCAGAGAAAAGGAGTGAGGGTAGTATGTGAGGGGTGCATGGTTATGAAGGCCATACTAGGCCTGTGAGGGGCAGCTGGTCAGAGCAAGGACCCCGGATGGGCAAGCCAGGTGTGCCATGGACAGTCAGGCCAAGGACTCAGACATGGCATCATGTGAGAGGAGGGGTAGTCAGAATGACGACAGTGTGCGATCAGGTGCAACAGTGTGTGAGGGGCAGGTGTGAGGGTGTGTGTGAGGCAGGTAGGGGTGTGTGAGTGACACATGTGAGGGTGTGTGGAGGGCAGGGAGGAGGGTATGAAGGGCAAGTATGTGGGTGTGTGGAGAGCAGGTAGGGGAGCGTAAGATTGTGTGAGGGTCAGGTGTGAGAGTGTGTGAGGGGCAGGTGTGAGGACATGTGGAGGCGAGGTAAGAGTATGTGGGGGGCAGGTGTGAGGGCGTGTGGAGGGGAGATAAGGGTACGTAGGGGGCAGGTGTGAGGGCGTGTGGAGGGGAGATAAGGGTACGTAGGGGGCAGGTGTGAGGGCGTGTGGAGGGGAGATAAGGGTTATGTGGGGGGCAGGTGTGAGGGCGTGTGGAGG